AAAGCCGAATGCAAACTGCCGCTATAGTATGTATTCACTCATTGCTTATCAAATTGTCTAATTTATTTCTCATAGATAAATAGAGTAGTGTACTATAAAATTTATAAGTGTGTATGTATGTATATGAACATACCTGCCCAGTCGGAAAATGGGGAATGCATTACCTTTCTCTACCAAGAAAAGAGTAACGAATACGATTGTACGAAAAGATGCATCACAATGTGAGCGAGCCGAAGATTTGAAGTCGTATTATAACCGAATTGTTGCATTCCTAATGGGGAATTTACATGAGGCGATTTTACAGGTAGCTTTTAGTTGAATGCAGCAGGTGTACACAAAATTGGATTTCTGTTGTTCGATGATATTTAAAAATTACACTGGTTTACAGCAAAAATGTTCAATGGATGCCACTATCTAATTTCTCGGTGATTCCGAAAATCGAGTCAATTTTTTTCCATGGAGACGTTTTTGAGATATTTGCAATTTACCGTTATTTGGCTTAAAATAAAAAGTGGTTCCACTTAATCATGTACATATATCTTACGAACCAATTTAACGATCTTAAAATGAGATACGGCAAATGAAAGCTAACAAAACCATAAACCATATATACATCACTATCCGATAGGACTGATAGTTTCTGACAAATTAATTAATCATTCCAGTATTTTTTTTTGAAAAAATTAAAAAAAAATCAAACTTTAACAGAAGAAAAATTTAAAAAATAACAGGCTCTGTGCGAAATGTTTGCATTTGTGCTAAAGCCTGTTCTGTTACATTGAAATCAAGTTACCAATGAAAAAAATCGATCAACAAATAAAGAAACAATGAGTGGTCAAATGAAAATATGCAAAGATTTTTTATATGAAAAATGAGCAGGACAGGATGTTACTCATATGCCATGTACACTTGATTTTTTTGAAGGAAAAGTTGTATCTCAGAGGTGGTTCCATATTAATTTCGTTAAGATACGATTATTGGATCATGAAGAAATTAACGGGTTTCTTAAATTTTTATATGAGATTTGAAGTCGGTTTTGTTTTTTGCTTAAAAATTTCTTGTTGGAGTCTAATTTTTTCGTTTTTGTTATTTTTGTTATTTTATGGCCTTATAACAATTATATACAACAATTTTTATTGAGCTCGAGGCCGTTTTTTCTATTTTTTCTACACATTATGTACACATACTATAACCGGTCATATTTAATTTTCAGATCTTAAGGGATTCTAATTAATCATAAGAATTTAAGTTTTATTACAAAATTGAGACTCAATTGAAATGGTTAAAAATGGTGGAAAAATAAAAAGAGAGTGAGAAATTAACTTGCCGGCTTTCTGAAACCTTCTGGAGTATATCAGTGTTGCCACACATGGGTTTTTCCTACCAAAACTGGTAGGTTTATTTCCATGTGGTAGGTTGGTAAGCTAGATTGAATTTTTGTAGGTTCCGCGACAAAAATATTTATTTGCGAAAAATAGAAAATATGTATTTCCAAACATTTTAGCAACCTTATATGTATATGTACTGAAGACAGGTGCGTTTAAAAGGGCTTGCCAATAAGCCCACTGAGTCCACAATTGTCCCATTTACCAAAAGAAGGAAGTGAACTTGACTAGCATCTAGGCATAACTCTGGACAAAAAGGCTCAGTTGGAACTCACATCTGTGGAATGTTACCAACAAGGATACAAGTTACCTTTATATCTGTCTCAGAGACTTCACTGGTAAGACTTGGGGAATATCACCCTATCCATCGTACTGGTATTTAAATACGGTAGTAAAACTCGTCGTTACATATGCGGCACTGGCCTGGTGGCCAAAAGTTAAGCAAGGAAACGCGGGTGCCACCTTGAGTAAGCTGCACCGACTGGTCCGCGTGGCTATCACAGAATCTATGCTCACCTGTCCTACGGATGCTCTTGGTGTCATTACAGACATTCCCCCTCTGTCTATTCTAATTGAAAAAGAGGCCTGGTGGAGCGCCCTACGGCTGCCTAATACGATCAGCATGTAAAGTGGAGATCTTCGGAGTAATTTGGAGGTTCTCAAAGTATTTCTGGGTGATCCCGAGTTGTCCTTCTACTAACCTTACAAGGGCAGAATTCTTGAAAGGAACTGCTTGTGTAGCGAGAAACACAACGTTTATTGTAGCTTTGTCCGTGCTGAAGCCAAACCTGGTCGTAGAACTGCTCTAGCATGTTAGGATTTTGAGATATCCTTACCTCAAAGAGTCAATAACAAGGTTTTTGGCGATATTTGAGGTTATAAGATATGAACAATATGTACCCAGTTAATTTGTTTTTATTGTGCTAGCTGTGTTTTAGTTTTACTAAATGGTATCTTATTTAAATTTTTAATAAACTTTACATTGAAAAATAATTAAAGGCTAAAAAAAATGTTGGTAGGTTTTGGCAGGAAGAAAAATTTTACCGCGGCAAGACTGGAGTACAGTGCACGTCCGATAACGTGAACTAATTAAACCCAAGGGAGTTCACATTAACAAAAGTGTATCACGTTTTCGAATGCGCATATATTTACTCATTTAAATTGACATTTTATTATTGTTTTGTTTACATATTAATTTGAGTTTAAGAGATATGATATGAAACGTAAACTAACTCACTATCTTTGTGCATATCTGCGCACACGAACAAACCTCAGCATTTAAATTGAGAAGAAGATCGACGGTGCTGAACATCAAGGAGTGAAGTTCAGCTCCCCATTTTGCTTTTAAAACCGCCAACAGCATACTATCTTCAGTATCATCATCGTTTCTGGTAAAATTTAAAATATTGTTCCAGCACCTAGCTATGGTTTCTTCGCGTCGACACGACCCCAAGCGGCATCCAAAAGATTTATAGCTTTTTTTAATGCTATTTTCTTCATCGACTCGAGCAAATCAGATTGCATCGCTGCCATTGAAGCTAAAAGGCTTTTTCTGTAGTGCAGCTTCGTGATTTTTATTGCATTCTGATGTATCGGTTGAATGAGGGGAGTAACGTTTGGTGGCATGAACATTTGCGAAAATCCGCCCATCTTCTGTTGTCAGTTCAGCTTCATTTGGATGTGAAGGAGCGTTGTTATCCAAGCTGATTTTGAGCTTTTGTAGTCGGTGGGACACTGAAAGTTTTTAAAGCAGCGTGGATTCTTCGCTTTTCCGATTACCAAAATTTTAAGTTTATGAGATCCAGTGGCGTTTAAGCAACACAAGAACGTGATTCGCTGCCTCTCGACTTTACGCTTGGCTCTCTCAGAATAAGCCGGACTCATCAGCATTATATAGCTGATCATTGCACAACTCCATTTCGGCCATTTCAGCTTTAAGTTTTTCTTTAAACGGATCCACTAGCCGAGGCTGCGAAGACAGTTTCGCAGTTTCTTATTTCGCATACGAATAAACCAACGATAAAGAGCTTTCTCCATTTTGGGCAGTTCTGAAGTACGCAGTGTTTTTCTTTTTCCATTAATGCCACAAATGGTTGACTTAGCAACATTATATTTATTCGCTAAGAACGTCACACTCGGCCCTTTTTGTAAAAAACCGAGAATTTCAGCTTTTTCTTTTAATATCAAGCACACAGGCTTCTTAGAACTAATTTTTAAGCAGCAAATCTAAGGTGGAACACTCCATTCAAAGCCAAAATTGTGACTGAAATGTTTTATGCGTTACATGCAACCACAAATAAAACGCATAACTTTCTATTAGGGGATTCCCCAAGTTCAGAATTGTTTCAGCTCAATGGGAACTACATTCAAACATTGAAACGTGTATTGTGCATGTTATAGAGCTTTCTCGCCTTGTTCACGTTTTAGAATAGTCAATGCACAAAAAAAGCTTGTTCACGTTTTGGAGTGTTCACGTTTTCGAGCGTGCGCTGTATATGCATGTACATACATATGTGCATTTATATGTTTATATATACATACATACATATGCAAATGTAGATATATGTACATACCTCTTTGTTAGCAAATGCCGTCAGGTACGTGGTGTGCGGGATATCAAGGCAAATGTAAATAATAACGCTACAGTAATGGTGATCGTTGCCGGTTGATTAAGTGAAACGCAAACCGCCTTCGCACACGCGGCGCACTCACTTGCTCTGCTTTGCAATTTAGTATGCCGGAATAGTTTCTTGGGAACAGCTCGCAATAATCGGACAGCAGAGAGCAAGTACGCAGGAATGTTTTTATTTAGCAAGAAAAAAGCGTTGGCAAAAATTAATAATAAAAAAAGTTATTTTGTGCTACTTTACCTATACATACATATCGTCGAGGTATTTGCAAAACCGCCTATCTTCGTTACTCAAATTTTACAGGAGAGCGAAAAAACGGTTTATTCTTTGAAGGCATTGCCTTGATAGGCGGTACTTTCTCTAGCTATTATTTTACAAATCTGTTGTTTTAATAAGGATTTAACGATTTTTATGCATAAATCTCGATGCCAGGAGTTCAGGGTTAGCAAATCAAATTTTTGCTACAACTGCGATTTAGGCAGGCGGTTTTGCAACTGGTCGATGGGCGGTTTTGCAAAAACATCGACGATATGTACATATGTGCGTTTACTTGTAAATTTAATATTTCCCTCATACAAATACCTTTCTTCCGAACATTAAGCGGTTTCTGTGGCCGACGGCAAAGTGATGATTTAAAAAAATACTAAGCGCGAACAGGGAACTGCTGCGTTAAATGACACAAAATCGTTTTGTTCTTTTGGATTGTGATGGCGGCAGCGACGATGCGTGGGCCTTGCTGGTGTTGCTCAAGGCAGCCACCGAACAGCGACTGACACTACTGGGAGTGACAATTTGTGGCTGTGGAAATACCGATCTACACAATGCAGCTCAGAATATGTATCGGATTTTGAAAGCTTCCAACCGTACCGAGGTATATACATACATATATTTTAATTTGATAACAATGATAACTAAATGTCAAATGTCAAACATGGTAAAATGCAGTTTCAAAACTTCATTTCTCCCACCTCCTCCCCCCGCTCAGATTCCCATTTATCTTGGTGCTGCCGAGTCACTCATACCACTCAACGAACCGCTCGATGATGACAAATATTTTCATGGCCGCGATGGATTCGGCGACATATTGCCCCTAGAAGAAGATTATAAAATTGAACAGGTGGTGCAAAAAGAACACGCTGTGGTGGCCATAAATAAATTTTGTACGCAGGTAGGTACATACGTGAGTGAGCTGTTAAAAATTATCGAATTCCACTTCCCTTTCGCCACTTGCAGCATTCGAAAAAGGTAACAATCATAAGTGTTGGCCCGTTAACTAACATCGCGCTTTGCTACTCCATGTTTGGTGCGCAATTTGCAAATGCAGTAAAGGATATTTATATAATGGGCGGTAATCATCAAGGTAAATAACTTAGAAACATACTTATGTACTACATATATATACTTACATATCATGAAATCTAAAATTTTTCATGAAAAGTCAAGTATGTTTTCAAATTTTAAACCTTACTAATTTTCTCGACTCCAACTTAAAATTTATCTGCGCATTAAATTGTCTATTATAGCCCAATTATGCGTACTTGCACTGCTATACCATTTTTACATAAAAAACAAAACTCAACAGAACACATTCTTATGTGACAACTCTCATGCAAAGCTAAGTATGCATAACTGGGCTATTAGGTAAGGCTGACTAGTCACTGTTGGCTAGCCACAGACCATTAAGGCTCAAAACATTACCAAACGTTACGTCTACTACTAAATTATACAACAATGTTGAAAAATATATCAGTCCTTCTGGTGAACAGGACCCTCTTTTGTAATTCATTATCTCGTTATTACTTCCGCATTCTCAAGTCCATCGGCATACGCCCCTTGCAGTCATGCCTCTCTGCCACTCTGGCTGCTTTTGAGTATTGAAGTATTGCTAAGCTCAAATTTCCCGCAAAATGCATACAGGATCACTTTTGGACTCATCGTGTAAAGATGCATCGAGTCTGCTATACTTATACTCTTTCGCAAACCTTTGTTTGTTTTGAAAACTCTTTGCTTAGAGTGTCCAGTTTCTCAAGTTCCAAACTAATTTATGAAATAAACCAGAATGAATAAGATTTGGTTAAGAGCATTAAAATTCCATATTTAAAATATACTGGTGAAAATTTTATTTTTTAGTAAAATTACCCTAAATAATTGCATACAAAATCTTGTCTGCAGGCGTTGGAAATTGCACACGTTGCGCTGAATTCAATTTCTATTCAGATCCCGAAGCAGCTCATTCAGTGCTTGCCAGATCTGTATGTCCCATCACAATATTGCCCTGGGAGCCGTGCTTGGAGGATCGTTTCTTTATATGCATTGTATGTGTAAAATAGATTGGCCGTTTTAAATAAAATTACTATATTGCAGATCTACATGTATTACTTTCCAGAACTGGCGTCTCGACGAACTTGGTAGAACCGCTGAGAAAACGTCTTCCGCCATCGAGATATTGAATAAAGTGGAGCGGGCGCAATGGCTGCCATCAAGATTCAAGAGTTGGATACCATGTGATGCTCTAGTTGTAGCCGCATTCCTTTTTGAAACCGCAATTGTCAAAAAGACAAGCAAATGGCATGCAACTGTAGATTTGACGGGACATACCCGTGGGCAAATGATTTTAGATCATTTACAAGAAGTGGATAAGTATCCAAAGAATGTACGAATCATTGAATGGTTGGATGCGGTCGTTTTCAAGAAAATTGCATTATGGGCTGTGGGATTGCAGGACGAGCTTATCATCAACCATACAAATGGAAATGTGGAAATATAATGTTAGTTTTAATATGATGATAAGATGTTTTTATTTTGCATTTGTTGTACCTTTTCATGAAAATTATTAATATAACATATGTATAAATTCGAATAACTATGTCTCCGCAGGCAAAAGTTTTTATCTTGAAAATGTTATCAGACAATATTTTGCTGATGGAGACCGCCTATTGCTCTTGGCAAGCAATAACACTGGTTTACAACAAAAATGTTCTCCAGACGCCACTATCCAATTCCTTTGTAGAATTGCTCGGTGATTCCGAAAATCGAGTTATTTTTTCTTTTCTATGGATACATTTTCGTATTACTCAGGTATACGCGGCGTATGTGCAACATTCTTTCGTGCTCAATTTTCATACAAAAAATCTTGCGCATTTTTATTTGACCACTCATTATTTCGTATTTATCGATCGATTTTCTTCATCAGTAACTTGATTTTTTTTTTGTAACACAACAGGCTTTAGTACAAATGCAAAAATTTAGCACAGAACCTGTTGTTTTTTAAATTTTTCTTCTGTTAAAGTTTGATTTCTTTTTTTCATTTTTGCATTAAAAAATAAAAAAAGCTGGAATTATTAATTAATTTGTCAGAAACTATAAGCCCTATCGGAAAGTGATGTATATACAGTTTATGGAGAATTTCATTTTAAATTGATTCGTAAGATATGCGTGTTTTAAAGGAACCAATTTTTGCTTTAAGCTGAATAACGCAAAATTTCAAATGCCTCGAAAACGTATCCATAGAAAAACAAAAATGAACTCGATTTTCGGAATCACCGCGCGATTCTACATAGAAATTGGATAGTGGCGTTTGGAGAACAAAAACCAAATTAAAATTTGTGATCCAGTGTAATTATCGGAGCTTTTAAGCTGATAAGTATTGCCAGCAATATAGTTGTTTGACAGTTCCATTTTCAAATGCGCGAAAACGTCGGTGGCGGCAGCATTATTGATATTGCAATATAAAACCAAAAATTGTTTTCTATTTAAATATTTGTTGAAGCCATGTAAATCTCTACATACAGTTCAATGCGAGCGTGAACGTGAACTTTTTATTTTGACCAATATCTTCGTTATTACTCACTTTTTGCAATAGTTAGTACATCAAAGGATATAGAATTAAAATAGCTAGCAGAATTATAGAATAAACAGTAATTTAAGATGCAAAATATGTATGCATTTGAATACGTAAACTTGTCGCTCACAAGCGAATGCTTTGCGTAGCGCACAATTGAGTGTGAGCTTGTAAAATATGCATATTACACATATTTTAATTTACTTTTAAGCCAATAATTCTGAAAGATATTTAACTTTATATCTTTTGATGTATTAACTATTGCATAAAGTGACTTAATAACCAAAATATTGATCAAAATAAAAAGTTCACGCTCACGCTCGCATACATATTTACACATGTATCGGGCAATACAAATTACAGTTGGTAGGCAAAACGTTTGCTTGTGTAGACTGTTAAATAAACCAGGGTTCAGAAATATTAACTACTCTGGCCAACAGTGATTTTGGTGCAGAGAAGCTGCAATTCTTAACTTAGGGCCTTATACTCATTACATAAATATAAAAGAAGTAAAGAAGTATAAGTTCGGATGAAAACGAACTTTATACACCCGGCGCTGGTATCAAATATCGCCGTTTCAACTTTCTCTAAACTACCTTTACATGATAAGCAGGGGTGTTTTCCCCGATTTCATACGATTTCGATAATAGGCAGAGTTAGACTTAATAAAGTCACTGAACCAAGTTTAATAGAAATCGATAAAGCAGCTACCGAGGAACACCTTTGTAATCATAAAGTGGGCGGTGCCACGTCCAATTCCTAAGAGTCTATAACAGTCATATTTATTGATGGGAGGTGGTTGTAAGTATTAATTTGGAGTAAATTAACATCCTCAGTCATTAAAATATCGGAGTTTTCGTATTTATGAAATTTACCGTTATACGGAAAGCGGGTGTAATTTTAGTCCGATTTTATTAATTTTCAACGAATCGCCTTTCCGTACCAAGGTTATTGAGTTCACTGAGCGATTATTGCACTCAACGATTTTAAATGAATTAGCTTCAGTAATTACTGATTCATCGCAGTTTTCGTGTTTCTGTAAATTGTCGTTATATACGATTGGGCTACCAAGTTATACCAATTTTTATGTTACTAATATGTGTTCTAAAAGTGAAACAAATATGATTTTTTAGGATAGCTCTCAATCCCTTCGACACCTATCGGAAGACAAACACACAGATCCTTCTAAAAACTTTTGCACAAAACAGCAATCATTTAATGCGATTTTAAAATCTGGGAGAAAATGGTTCCCAATTGAATAATTCTTGCGATTCTATATGTGTATAGATGTAGGTCTATAAAATTCCATTACATTATAATAAGTGGTTCCAGAGATAACCGATATGAGAATTTCACTTTGTATGGGCGGTGCCATGCCCCCTTTCCCAAAACCTACCACTCTTCGCCATAAGTACGGTATTGACAACATGTGTTGCTGTGTCAATTTTCGGGACGTTAGCATAAGCGGATCCAGAGATAAGCGATATGAACATTTCAGTTTGTATGGGCGGTGCCACTCCCCCCTTTCCAAAATCTACCATTTTTCGCCGTGAGTACGGTATTGGCAACATATGTTGCTGTGTCAAATTTCTGGACGTTAGCATAAGCGGCTCCAGAGATAAGCGATAGCAGAGTTTCAGTTTATATGGGAGGTGCCACGCCCCCTTTTTCAAAATGTACCATTTTTCATCGTAACTAGGGTATTTATAATCTATGTATCTGTGCTAAGTTTCAGTTCCCCAGCATAATTGGTTTTAGAGATATAAGGGTTTCACATTTTAGTCTATATGTCAGATGCCACGCCCCCTATGTATCGGGATTCACATTTCTGGATTAGATGAAGTTATATCCATTAAATCGGTGTATGTTTCATTTAAATCGAGCTAATGGTACCTTCAAAAAAGGGATTGCAAAATTTTCTTGTGGCGTATTTATATATAGAGATATGGTAGGAGAGCTTCTCAAACCATATTGATGCAATTTTTTTATGTTAAGTCGTTGAAAAATAATAAATATCTAAATCCCGGGACTGATCCCGGGATCCCGGGATTGCACCAACGACATCCCGAAAATCCCGGGATCGTAAAAATCGAAAAAATTAACATCCCTAGTACATATTAAAGGCAATAGACTGTGAAGCTTCAAGAGTGCAGCACGATATTAAAAAAAAATTGCAGCATGCAGAATATCTATCGCAGCTATTTTGTAGTTTTTTTTCAAATTTTACGATTTTTTTAATTTCAAGAGTTAAAGATATTTCAAAATGTCAACACTAAACGGCGAAAATGTTCTTCTTGCCGAAACGAATGAATCTAGTGTAATAAGACTAAAGTCTCACTAAATGAAAAAAAAAATTACATTGAGTAAAAGATGACTATGTATGATTTGAGAAACTAATAGCCGGTTTCTCCAGCAATTCAAATGGAAAATGATTTTTAATTTATGTCAATTTTCATATAAAATTCCAAAAATTAAAATAACTTTTCACTTAAATTGCTTTCGTGAAATCGGTTGTAAAATTCCAGTTTTATAATTCTTTTTGGCAAACTCGAAATTCAATCTAAAATTGTTATATGGTTGAAGAAATAAATATATGTATATGTGCATAAGGAATACTGTGTAAAAATCTTATACGCCAATATTTAATTACTTTTAAATAATATGGCTTTTAAGTTAAGGCGTGCGAGTAAACGTGTTAGATGATTTCGTATGGTGCTACGTGGCGTATACGTTACATACGCAACTATGGGTATATGAGCATGAGTGGTTATTTTCACCTAAATTTTCATTCAAATAATGGCATCTTTTTCTTTATATAAAACTGAAGATAATGCATTTTCCACGATAGGTGAACAATAATTTTCGATCAAAAACATGTTTTTGTCGAAAAATGTAATAACTTGTGAGATTTGTTCATATACGTAAGTTTTAAGAAATAAGTAAAAAAAAAACAATGTTCGACAGTCGTTTTCTCATATAGTTACATACCTATTTTTAGCATTTCAAATAAAAAAATACAACGAATAGTGAACGAAAGATAGAAAATTTAATTACCTTTCGCTTCATGATTGATGAGTATACGCATTCAATATGTATTCATTATTTTTATGATCCCTTTTTTTCTTTTATCAAAAACTATTACGTAGCGATATCTCGAAAACTACACATAGGAGAAAAATATAAAAATTGTTAACAACATCTTATAACGAGCCAATAAAGATATTGTTGACCTGGGTAATTTTTCTAATTTTAACCTCAAATTCGTACTGATTAGGAATTTGGCGTCCATAATGATAGTTACTCGGACTACCTTTAGCTTTAGTATTTGCAATTCGTTTACTAATATTAAAAGATCCAACCACACAATTTTTTTCTGAAAGATAAAAGTTATTGCCCAGGAATTTTTCACTAAGAAACTTCAAGTTATTTTAAAATTTTGTCCCTTAAAAAACTAAAATATAAAAAAGCAAAATACTTTTAATTTTTAATAATTAAATTTAACCTAAAAAAGAATTATTAGGAAGTAATTTTGTAAATAAATTTTACCGTTGCTGCATTAAATCTTCTACTACAGTTTTCTATAAATTTTCCATCCGATTACTTGATGTTGGCAACAACTGTTTTCATTCCACTCGGCCCACTGAGGTACTGTCAAAGCTCACGAATAGCATCATACAACATAGTTTGCGATGAAAAACGAAACAAAATAAAGTTGATAAATGTCTAGGCAAAAAACAAATCACACAAAAACAGTACACCAACATGAAGCAAAAACCACTAAAGCACAGCGAATGCGAATGCGCGTACACAAAGCACACCCCGAGCACAAGCAATGCCACCACCATCGCCGCCCCCTTTTCCATGTACACTTGCAATTACCAACAAAACAATAAACCAACAAAAAAAAAACAACGACAATAACAATAGAAACCGTAGCTACTCGCAAGCGAATGAGCAAATATTCGTAGTTGTGCCGATGAGCGCACCAACGCACAGTGCACTGGGGCCATTAAAGTAGTTGGCAAAAAATTCAGTAAAAATACATGCTTTTTCTTTGCATTATAAAGTGGTACTATACATACATACTGTCGATTTGTAGGTAACAAAAATAAGACTGCATTTCATATGGCATTAAAAAATCCGAAAAATAGCAATATTCATTTATAGAGTTGTGAGGAAAATTAAAAGAAATGAGAAACATGGTACTCAAAAAAAAAACTAATGTGACAAAAATTAAAAATTGTATAAAAAGATAAATATGTGCATATGTACTTTACCCAAAAATATCAAAATATGCAGGAAAAATACTTACGCAATATGTTTTTAGAAATGTCATGTTAATCGGATGCTGTCAGCAACCAAAAACTTAAGTTGCCAAAAGCTAGTAAAAGTGCATAATTTTAAGGACTATGTGGGCCTGGGCAAACTCCAATATGTGCAGGTGCTCAGCGATTTTCAAGTTGTCAGCTTATATCCGACTAAATGCTACTAAAAATCTGAGCAGCGGAAACCCTTGGATTTTTACTCTAAGAAATGGAGAGGCTATTAATATGTACATATATATATATACATCGGACACCTTACGCAAAAGAGACACAACTCAAAAATCAGATACGGAAATATAACTGCTTGAGAATTGTATATATTCAACGCAAATAATATAACAACAGGCATACATGCAATAGCTTAGAAGGCAAAACTGCTAACTCCAGCTATAAAATTTTTATTGTAGTACAAAGTAAAAAAAAAAAATCCTGTGAAATTTTAAGAAACGAACACAAAATTTTCTAACCTTTTGCCTTTACTTTAGAATCGAACACGAAAAGAGAAAGAGGCAATCAAAAGGCAACATTCTTTGGTAGAAACGAAAACACCATTATTGAATTTTTTTGCCGCTTTTGGTCTTGGCGAATTTACGTTTCACAGCTTTGAATCTGTTAGAAATGCAATTAGTAGTTTGGCCCTTTTCTAAACGATGCGTTTTTAGTTTTCCTTGCATCCTACATAAAAAAGTGCATTTGGCAACTCTAAGCTTTCTAAAATCCATATCGTTGAAGTTTTTGCAAAGCCGCCCATCGACTACAGTGGTGCTTCAGTATAACGAATGCCGATATAACGAATGTTCGGTATAACGAACACTTTTTTTCAAAGCATTGTTGACTCTATATAACGAATGTTGAAAATTCGAAGAACTCGATATTACGAATGCTTTGCTATTTGTTTTAAGACTCCTTCGAGAATTGCATCAAATGATCTGAAGAAAATAATGTGAAACATCAAAAAGCATTCGATCTCAAAATTTCCCGTCCTTAAAAACAATCGAGCATATCAGACTTCTTTTCCACGAAATAAAACCACCTCAAATCTAGGAAATTTTGGTGTGGAGGTCTAGCTTCGGTTCTCTGACTAAGTTTTTTTTTTTATATTATAACCTATGTATGGAATTTTTGATAAATGAATGAGTAAATAAGCGTACAAACATACGTTCGTATGTATGTATGAATGTACATAATTTTTGTTTCCGATATAACAAACTTTCAGTTTAACAAACGGTCCTGACATTACATAATTCTTTATACTGGAGCACCACTGTAATTGCAAAACTGCTTATCTTACGTCACTCAAATTTTCCGAGAGCGAAAAAACAGTTTTTCATTGAAAGGATTGCCCTGATGTGCGGTATTTTATCAAGCTAATATTTTACAAATCTGTTATTTTAATAACAATTTTACTATTTGTATGCATAAATCTCGTTGCCTGGAGTTCTGGGTTACCAACTCTCATTTTTGCCACAACGGCGATTTAGGCGGTTTTGCAACTGGTTGATTTGCGGTTTTGCAAAAACATCGACGATACGCAAGAATGACAAAATACTTATATACTTATTTTCTGGATCGTGGACGATATTTTGTATTAAAATACTTGAGTTTATTGAGTAATTAGTTGAAAGGACATATGTACATATTATGACTTTATACAGGGGTTTATGTGAATTTTAGTCACTGTGCAACTAGCTAGTATTTCACCAACAACAATACTATCATCATCATCATCACCATCGCCAATGGCAACAACAAACCCAACAATACCACCATCTACATGTGTATGTATGTATGTATGTATGTAGATATGTGAGTGAACCATCACTGGCAGCCAGCTCCGCAGCAGCGATAGCAGTTCGCCAGTTAGCCTAGCTGACAACAGTAGTCAGAACGAATCGAGAGGAGCAAGCGTTTGGACGTAGTAGTCGGTATTGGCAATCGACAATCGACATCGGCACACGGTCGTCTGCGTCGCTGCCGTCGCGTATGCCATTTGTGCTGCTGCTCTTTCAAATAGTCGCGGGCCTAACACTCTTACTATTTGTTATACATTATATTTATTATATAATTAATGCAATTGCCGGCGATTTACAACTACAGCAACAACAAGTGCAGCAACAGCAGCAAGTACTGCAATTGCAACAAAACGTGAATTTGCCACAGCAACTAGAAAACCCAAATTCATTAAAAAAATATCGGTATCAACGCATCCCAGTAGCGTCTGGTAGAAAATCGAATTTTTTTAAATCGACCACAGCAACAACAACTGGCGAAAAAATGCAAACAAGCGACGATGCAAAATTTATAAAAAAGTGAGTGAATACAGAAGGCAAAACAAAATAGATAGATCTTAATAAAAAATAATAAGAAACAAATTACATATATAAAGCGTATAAAAAATTTGCAAAGAAAAAAAATGTAAGGTAGTGAAAGATGAGCTGTTTGTGCACTGGCGTAAGTTAAACAATGCCTCTTTACGGGGCACCAAAGAAACACGCCCCAAATACAAGTGTGCTCATCATAAGCGTTGACAGAGTTAAACAGCTTAGCTCACTATATACTTAAATATACATCAAATTATGATTGTATTTGAAAAAAAAATATACTGTATACTGTATACTGTATGCCCAGTGGAAAAAAGTAAAAGTATGACTAACTCTAATCGAAATGAAAAACAAAAGCAAAAAATTGTATATCAGAAAAAGCTGATGAAGAGCACCTTTTTCCCAGCGCTTAACTGCAGCAAAAAATGTGTGTGTCAGCATTATCGATTTTCCATTTCCACCGCGTTTTCCGACTGCGCGCCGACCGACACGCGAAATTATTGTACACATACTCGTACGAATATGCGGCTACGATGTGCGCCGCGCCGTCCGCACCCGCGTCCCTTTGGTTCACAATCACGCTGACGTAGCTTTCCTCACTCGATGCTCTGCTCTGCCTATAAATGTCGTTAATGTTCGGTAGCCGTTTAAACAAAAGGGATTTTCATCATAACGACGTCAAACTGGATGGTTTTTTTTCTTTTTTTTTTTAAATTAGAAAAGGAAGTTGCCCAAAAAAATGAGTGAACAATGATCCAAATTCTAGAGATATGCAAATAAAATACATATCGCTAATTTAATAGAATACTGTCACAACTCAAAAAACGGGAATTTGTATCTAATGACGCAAATTTACTCCTTATATCATGCTTAATTATTTGTTTAAAAATTTCGTCAAAAAGCTTGTTTATTGTTCGCCTAAGAAGAGAATGTGTCCCCTGATTTCTAAATTTTTTTGACTAAACTGAAAATTTTAAACGTGTCTCTTGAAAAATTTCGATTTTTACTTGCATTTAGAAATTTGTTTGACATGTTTTTTATACTTACCTACTAAAAAAAACATATGCGAAAATATGTCTTAACGTACTCTACATGTACATACATATATAAACCTGGCGGAAAAAAGCAATTTCACAGTCGCACAAACAATAAACTCATAAATCATTTAATACGTGTGTATGTAGTATGTATGTACGGGTGGTCCTTAAACTATCAAGACGGGAATTTTGTATGGGGCTCCAATTTATTTTGTTCTAGCAGCAAAATAAAGCCATCCACCAAGCTCAAAATATTTGTTTACGGGTCGCCAAATATTTGTGTGGTCTCACGTTGTCGTGGTATAATTTAACTCCTTTCTTTCATTCCTTTCAAAAAAGGATCGTCTACTTAATGGAGGTCTCTTCACGCGCTGTGAAATAAACTTTTTGAGTTCATGTGGAGTCCAAATATCCACCTTAAGAGACTTGAGAGTAAACATTTTTTTATTTACTTAAAATTTTTCTGTAATCACTCGTGCCAAATTAAAAAAAAACAAATGTTGCAATATTCTATTCTACTTCTATCTGGGTGTCTCTGCTGTAAAAAATAAAGAACCATATGTACGTAGCTAATATGTATATAGTATGTATGTACATACATATGTAAAGTATATAAAAAGTATTTGCAAACAATTTAGGACAACCCTAATTCAAATATAATATTGAAATGAATGCGAGTATTCCGTATTTTTCAACCAGTGATAATATTTTGCAAAGTTTTGAAATTCAACGTATGTATATGGGACCCATACATTAAACCTCCTATCAAACATCTTCAAAATTTTTTGTCTTTTTTAAATTTTAATTTAGTGCGAATGCGAAAACATATATGTATATGTGAATACGTACGTATATACATATGTATATGAATGTATTTCTATTTAGAATAGAATTTAGAATTTTGAAAAACTGGAGGGAAAAATTAAATAATCTCGTTTTATAATTTCATAATTTTTGAAAAAATGTACTCGCTTTTATGAAATAATAATAAAATTATAGTTTAAAAAATAAAAACTCGCTTTTATGATTTTCATTCGTACTGTCATCAGGTACATATCGAGGGCTTATATTCAATACCCACTATCCGCAGTTTTAATGAAAATGAGTTTCTGATGGTAACGCGAGCTCCGATTAATCCTTCAGCCATAACAATAATGTCTAACTTAAAATATAGCTTTATTGGTATTATATTCTCATGTTGAAAATTCCACTATCTGCAATAATATTTTGTTATAAGAACAAAATCCTCTATCTACACAATTTTGCTGGAAAATTGCTTTTACTAGCATTTTTTATGGCAAGGTACCAGTAAAATCCGATCTTAAGTCAAACTAGTTTTGCCCAGGCTAAACCAAATTTGATACAACAAAAAAAATCTTCCATATCTCGTCAAACAGAGAGTCAACAAATTCCATTACTCCATTCTATCTCAAGGGTCACCAAGAGTGGAAAACTGCTATTATTATTCCTATTGCCGAACTAAATAGAAACAATTCATTCCTCCTCTGTAGTATATCTAAAGTAATACGCTGGAAAAATGGTGAGAGGATGTACAATGTTGTTGAGGCTTTCCTTTACAACAGGAAGTTCGCTGTTCAGGTCAATAACTGTTATTCAAAAACTGTTCTTCTCTTTAATGGTGTCCCACAAGGATCCCCACTTTCGGTTATTTTATTCAATATAGCCTTTGAGAAAGTTAGCTCTATTATATTTTTCTAAGACTAAGGACTTGCCGCAATTGGTCCCAGTCTTCCGGAGCTAAGATTTCGGTTTTTTTTCACATATGCAGAAAACACGAATGTATACAACCAACCCTCTCCGTGTATGACACTGCACAAAAAGTATCTTAAATTGCTAGAAACACTTTACCATGCAGCAATCAGAAGAACCATCAATCAATGGGGTAAAGTACAACACAAAAATGCTTACCCCAAAGATTGCTCACTGCAGAAATGAGACTTTATTCTCTCTCGTCGAATCCTGCTTTCAACAAAAAAACCGATGAAGTAAGCAATCAGCTTTAATTCGTATATTAAGCTACATCAAAGATTTGGACATTATATCTACATCGATGCCTACAATGAACCAAAAATCCAGCTCTGGATCAAACAAAAACTTTCCTTACTTTAAGGTCGAAAATTCTTCCGAATGAGTAATTTTTCGTACACGAAAATGTGGAACCGTGGATGTAATTTATCATTTTGAAGAAATGTTGGCATTTTTCTTCATTTTGATCGCTGTTTTTCTTCAATTAAGAAAATGCCAGTTAAAAACTTAGGTTGAAATAACATTCACATATAAACACAGTTTTTCTGCTCTCCTGAAAATTTGAGTTTTTGCAGATAGAGAGTATTGAGTATAAGCCCTCGATATGTAACTTGAGAATGGAAATTGCTGCATCTTTTAGGCGCATCAATATTACATAAGCCATCATCGATTCGCCAACAGTTAGCGAGTGGCGAAACGAACGAACTCAATGAGGTACAACCAAACTAGCTATCGTCTATCCTTGCTAGCTAACTTTGCTGTTAGTTGCTGTTATACCAATTCTGCGATATTCATAGAACAATCTTAGGGGGTGAGAGAATTGAAATTCCGACTTTACTTATTTAGGACCACCCTAATGTACACATGTGTCTGCGGCCATTTCCATATAACGATAAAACTACTCGAGGGCTACTCTAGTTTTCAAAAATTAGCTACTCTTATTCTCATGGCCTCATATTTATTTATGTATGTATGTATGAGTAAATGCTTAATGAAGTCACCGAAAAATTAATTATGGAAAAGTCGATAATGACCCGCAATTTCAAATAGTACAAGTAATGTCGTTTTGTGTTTGTGGTTTTTTCTGAAACCTCACTTACTTTTAATTACAAACATTACTGCATTATGAAGATAAAATTCTAATTAAAAATAATAAAATAAAACAATTAATATTTATAATCGATTATTATCGCGCAGACGATGGAAAGGCGGCACAATTGAACCACATCCAACGGATAAGGCATTAATTGTCAACTATCAACTGGAAGCGACGGTCTTCGGCGAACAATCAAGCAATCCGATGATTGAAGAGAAAAAGGTAAGTTTAAAACACACTTACACACACACACATATGGGCAAATTGCAATTGATAAGTTATGGCGTTAAAAATAGTCAATAAAACTTTTGACATAACTCTTAAAACAAAACAAACACCTTGCGACAATCAATTTAACACCATACAACAAAAAAATAAATACACCCGTCAAATTGAAAATATCGTTAAGTTTTCTCTCCGACATCATCATTTTTTTTTAACGGAATTGGAAATTTGAACGATGGGATTAGTTCAAAAAATTAAAAAAAAAATCAGTGTAATATATTTAAAATAGTAATATAAGTGATGAATTAAAGCGAAACTTCTGTAGAATTAAAAAAAAAAATTATTTTGGTGCGCAGGGACAAATAGGTATCGAAAATATCATTTTATATTTCAACCCTTGAATATCCTTTAAAATTTCCATAGGCTATTTTTTTTTTTATAAATGTTAAGGACTAATATTTGCACAGTCACATTCTTCGTTCTTCTAACTTTATTAGTCATTGATTTCAAATCACATCTTCAATGTCTATTCATCCTTTTAAACAAAATTTTGTTATTTTACATTGTACTGAATTTTTTTAATTATACATATTTTTGAAATTTTAAAGTCCTTTTTAAAATATCCTGACTTCAGAGAGAAAAACTAAAACCGCAGTTTTACTATAATTTTGCCCCTAATTTGGTGTGCATGTATATTAGTTTCTTCGTGTGTTTTTTAAATTTTTTTTTTTGTCGCACGGTGTAAATAATTCTACAATGCTTAATTTTTTACGTTTGTGTTATAACTTGTTTCTTGTTCGAAAAAAGTATAAGTATAGTTAGGTACATATGTACATATATATGTATTTCTGTTTGCATATTATTACACTTGAACTCTAAGCAAAGAGACTAAATAAATCTGTTTGAATTATCTAGTTTCTCTAACTAATACTTGTGCAAATCAATTAACCTTAAAATAAAGCTTAGTATCCATCTCTTAAGAAAACGGTCAAGAAAAAAATTGCCATGATTTCATGTGTGAGTCCAAGGAATTTTGACATTTGGTATTTCACAGCCTGCTATCTCACTCTTTCCTCATGAAATAATGGAACGGGCATATCGAGCCCTAACCGCCAAAAAAACATGTTTTTCAACATTTTTGACGTAGAATACGTCTTACCTTAAGGTATGGGGGCTATGTTCAAATGTTGTAGTTGTAATTTTTAGAGCTTCACAAAAACGCTTATTGCACGAGAACTAATAAAGCGATGTCAAAGAAAAGTGTGGCGTTTCAAAGATAAAATTCCAAACCTGTCGACAGATTCATTTTTGTAAATAACCAATTCGGTTTCTGTCGTAAAAACAACGGTAAACATTGCCTTATTTTGGGGTCAATTTTGAGCCTTTAAAGTGCTCTAACAACTTATTGTTGGCATATATAACTTTCATTTTCGGGATATAGGTTCTTTGGAGCAGTAGAAATATTATATATATATTATTTTATATAAATTTAACAAATATTGAGCATTTTAAGGCAAAAATTTTTTGAAAAAATTTGCAAATTTTTTTCATTACCAAAATGCTCAAAAACCGCTCGAATGATTTTGTTTTTGTTTTCTTTAATCAAAAATTCATGAGTTTTCCTTTCGTTTGGTATATGGGAAGTATTGGTTGATATCTTCTATATATGTTTATTTTATTCAAATATATGGGCATAAATGATTTTCCATACAAAATCACCTCGTCATCATTTTGCAAACACGTGCATATGTTGGAAGTGTGGGAAGGAGACAAAAAGTATGTATGCGTATGTAATGCGGCTTTTGATCGCAGCGTATGTACATATGTAAATGCATATATACGTACATATGAAAGTTTCAGTTAATGTGGATCTGTTTGGTTTTGTTATCGATATTTTTATCGATTTTGTTATCGATTTTGCTATCGATTTTGTTATCGATATTTTTATAGATTTTGTTGCCGATATTTTAATCGATTTTGCCATCGATATTTTTATCGGTTTTGTTACCGATATTTTCACCGATTTTGTTATCGAAATTTGTATCGATGTTGTTATTGATTTTGCTATCGATATTTTCGGAACTTATCGATATAATGATCGATATTTTTATCGATTTTGTAATCGATTCTGTTATTGATTTTATTATTGATTATTTATCGGTTTTGTTATCGATATTTTTCTTGATTGTTTTAACAATTTTGCTATCGATATTGTTATCGCTTTTGTTATCGATATTTTTGTCGCTTTTGTCATCAATATTTTTATCGATTTTTCTATAGATATTGTTATCGCTTTTGTTGTCGGTATTTTTATCGGTTTTTTTACCGATTTTGCTATCGATATTGCCATCGCTTTTGTTATCGATAGTTTTGTCGATTTTTTTATCATATTTATTACCGATTTTGTAATGGATTTTTTGATAGATTTTGTTATCAATTTTGTTATTGACTTTGGAATCGATTTTGTTATCGATTTTGTAATCGATTTTTCGATAGATTTTGTAATCGATTTTTTATCGATTTTGTAATCGATATAGTTAACGATTTTGTTATCGATTTTGTTATCGATTTTATTATCGCTTTTGTTATCGATATTTTTTTCTTAGTTTGTGCTTTCGTTTTTGACTTGGATATGCTCTTAACCATACCACGTATTCTACGTTTAAATTTAGCGGGTGTATCTCCGATACAGCCTGCAGACCAAGACGAAGGCGCTGGACTGTTCCTTTTTTTTTTTTGTTTTTTGATGTAGAAATGCCCTTAGAGCATCTAGGTGCTAGGTGCCATTTTTTCAAATTATTGTTGCTTTTCCACAATAAGTTTTCACTAAAAACGTCCTCAAGCTCATAAAAATTGTTGAATATAATTGTTATAAGGCCATAAAATAACAAAAACAAATATTTTATTTTCCTTTATTTGGTTTTCTTTTGTTTTATTATATTTCACATTATTTATTTTTATTATTAGTTAATTAAAATTTTTAGAGCTAAATTTTATTAAAAAAGTCAACAACTAACTGAAAATAACGTTAAAAAATATAGATGTTATAAAATTGAATGAATAAAAAAATGCAAACTCTACTGACCGTGGAACTCGAATCCTCGACCTTGCGGCTCGTTAATCCGCATTACTGCTGTCTGTCAAGGCACAATTTTGATCAGATCGACTGCACCGTTAATCCGCTGTCTATGCTGTTAGAGTCTGTTTCTTTGCAGAGTTTACATGCACTGAACAGGCCACTATAATTTCATTGGGTGTCCAATCACTTCAAAATCACTGCAACACTTTTCCTACGATTCCATTTTACTGTACAAAGAACATGGAAAGCTTAGTTCAGTGGCCAGAAACTACAAACGAATGCACTTAAAAGATCCTAAGTGATGCCTCTTGTAACCAAAATCATACTCACACACGCAAGTACAAATATTCATAAATATGTATGTTTGTACATTTACGTTCTGGAAAATTTGCAAGCTACCAAATACAAGCGTGTTCTCAACTGTTTAAAATACATACTTGCTTATACATATATTTATGTATATAGGAATGTACATACATACATATAGCGTATGGCCTTTGGTATCAAGCAATACATGCATTTAACCCGCTATCGATTTTCCACCCATTCAATCCTTTCACTAATTTTCCTTTTTCTCAACAAGCCACATATGTATGTATGTATGTATAGGTAACTCCACCACCCATTGGCTTGGGAAGAACAAACTTGCATGGCACTTTAACCTCAGAGTTCGCTGGTTCGGCAAGTCGCCTTCGGTTTTCCTTTTAGGAAGGCATTGTCATGTCAGCGACGACGCTTTTATTTGCAATGTAATGCCCTGTGGAAAATAGAAGCACGTAATAATGTCTTACCAGCAACTTACTCGTTCTCCCGGCGGTCTTTACTAAGTACTTTCCAGCTTAATGTCCCTTATGGAAGTAGAAATTTAAAATGTACATTTGGTATCAGACATAAGTACTTCTAGGCCGAATCACCAAATAAGGTACCTATGTATGTAGACGTTCGGTAGTACATTTTTTTAAAACTTATTTCCTTAAGACATGATCGGAGGTGACCATTTGGTGCTGTACTAAAAGATAACATTAGTGCTGATAACAATTTTGGTACTAAAGGCTGAAAGGAAACATAGATTTCCTAGTAAGGTGCTTGTCTATTTTCCAATTGGGTTACTGCAAGAGTACGAGTATACATATGTATGTATGTAGAAACAATATATTGTTATAACTATTGTACACCCACAGTTGCATACATATGTATGTATGTACAGATTTACAACAATAGCAGTTGTAATAATAACAACCTTTGCGTTGTTAACTTGTTTTAAGCCAGAACTTTGACGCTTTTGTTTCATTGCTGCGTACTCTGAGTTGCTGAGCCGTACAGTGGGTCAGAAGACTTTGGAAGTTTATGTTCAACAAATATTGCATATGCACGTATGTATGTATGTAAGTACGTACACATGTATCTTAGTTAGTTGTGCAGATCTTCTTTTGGGAGATTTTTATTTTTAGGCCACAACTAGTCACTCGTTTGTTTTTTTAATCAAATTTGTTCGTATAATTGACGGCAATTATTTCAATCATGCACGGTTTCTTATGTATTAATGCAGAAAACACAACGGTTATGATTTTTATTATAGAAGTCATAATTGGATTTTATTTTTCCGATAAAATACGTCCTTTATTTTATGATTTTTATTTTTCCGGTCAAAACAACGATCAGTTTTGTACTATTTTTTTATTTTTTTTATTTTTTATCATAACTACTACAACCGTTATTTTCAGATTCAGAGCAGTCGCGATATTCATACACCGTTAATTTGAAATAGTAATAGAGTTATATACTAAAATTTTATATTAATCAATGTGAGCTATACAGTATACTAAATTGAGCCCGATGATTTTCATAGTGAACTTTTTATTTATGATAACAAAGCCCCCAGGTTTCACGATTTCAGTTTTCTCAATGAAGGAGTTTT